TATTAATAATTATTTTTTATCATAATATAATCATATTAATAAAGCATATATAAAAATGACTCATAGATTAAATACACAACATTTCTATTATTTCTCTGCTTCGATCACTGTAACAATTTTCAATTGTTCAAAGGATAGTCTCTGTGATGGTAGTAAAATGGCATAGGAAACAACATATAAAGGACAAATAAACAAGTTCGAGAAAAAGACGTGAGTTTGATTACCAACTTTCTACTAATAAGTACTTAGACACATGGGATAAAAAGGAGAAAAAATATTTTCATAAGTCGGACAAAGCCTCTATAAGTGACAATTAGAGCCCTCTTTTCGGGGCATGCTTTCAACAAGTCCTTGTATGCCCGCTAGTGGTGTTTTCTTCTGCTCGACTTGGAGATGTCATGGAGGAACTTTCGCTTATTTTGAATATTTTCGTATTCCTTAACTCCGCAATTCTCGAGTTAACCCTAAAACCTGAATCGCGGTGGCTCATGGAATAGAGCCCTCGCTTTTCAATAAGGGGAAGCAGGTTCAAATCCACTGGTCGATACGAATTCTGTCTCCGGCATTGACCACGGTTCTGATGTTCTCTTCCATGTCTGATCCAGCTCCTCATTTTAACGTCCGATAACTTAATTGGCAGAGTGAAAAGTAGATGCATTGCGGTTAGAGAGGAAAACATTCCGTGGTAAAACTCATTTTTGTAAGGTTTCTTTTATTATTTTCCGGAATAAGCTATTACGGCCTGGTTGGTGGGGATCTTGACCCATACACAAGAGGTCGTGGGTTCGATCCCTGCAGGATGAAGACTCCCCGTGTAGTAAATGGTGACTGATGCATGTCAAATCTGTCGTGTCACAAAGTCTTCCATGTTCCCATTACAAATCATACCTCTGAGGGTATTGATTCAGGAGTTTCCTTGTCTTCTGGATTGGGTCCAAAATTACAAGGCTACGGAGTTAAACATTAATAGTCGCATGCCCAAAATTGGATCGGCTGTTCAACGACGGTTATAAAATAAAATATTAAATAAACTATTACGTGCTACTGTGTTGAGAAAGGACTCTTCTGCCAAGTGTTCTTTAGTTGTTGCAAATCATATTTCTGTTTAAATTTATGAAAATGCTGTTATTGTCTTCAATAAAGAACTGTTTCATGCACATCTCCTTTAAATTCCACGCATCCAGTTTAATTCATTTTCAAATTAGGCACAATGAAAAGGTTACATATACCTTAATTTTTGAAAGAAAGTATAACTCCTCTGAAATACATCAAACTTTTAAACACTAAATGGGATAAATAAACTTGGAAATAGATTTAATAAAAATAAAAGAAAAAATTTAAATTCATATTTAAGCAAAGTATAAAAGATGCAAATAATGCCCTTAAATAAAATGCAAATAAATTTTTAAAAACAATCTAAATTAATACGGTATTCTGAAACTTGTTTCCGAATTAAAAATGATATTTTTGTGAGTTTTAAAAATTATGTTTCCCGGTGCATAAAAATAAAAATGAACTACTTTCAAATCATGCTTCCTTTGTATCTTACATAAAAATTGGCAAAAATAAGTTAATGTTTTATACTTAAATTTGTCTATAATTTGTTAAATCTTACAAAATGATAACATGTTTTTTCACTATATTTTTCTAGTGGCAATGACTTATTGTTTTAGCGTTATAAGTCAACCATATTTGCCAAAAAATTAAAAATTTGAAACGTTAGAAATTAAATTATTTGATATGCTGGGCATTATACCTCAGTATTTTATCAGATCATTAAAAATGATTCTGTTCAGATTGTTTATATATCCAAAATAGAAATTGAAAATAGAAATCCAAAATGGAAATTGAAACAAAAAAAATGTGAAAATTCTTACAAACTGGCGAGATTTGATGTATCCAAAAAGAATATTCCTGGAGTTGAATTATCAGGGGCAACTGGAATATAATACGCAAGAGGTCCTCCTGTTAAATCTTCTGGGACAGCTTGAATTCTACATAAAAACAAAAATGAATAAAAAACAAGTTATTAAATGCCTGTAAGGGAGGCTTTGATAGCTTGCGTGAAACATTTTGGAAAGTAATAAACTAAGATGAAATTATTTAAAATCAAAATTATCCCAAATTAAAGTGTAGAAACAATTTTATAATAGTGTTACTGTGCTCATCATCATTTTCAGGAATGTTGCTCTTGCACTGTAATAAGATTCTTTCAAAATTAAAAGGTACATACGAATATTCTAACTTCATCATTGGATTATTTTATATTGTTTATAATACATACTTCATAAGGAAAATTATCACAAATTGCTTACAATAAGCTTGGAATGATTTCAAATTATGCAAAACTATAATTCCTAAAAGAATTATTATACAATACCAATCAAAATTAAAGGCTTAAATTCCCACTTATTCATCATTCAAAATTTTAAGAAAAAAAAATTTAATAATGATTTAATTTAAATTATTTTTTATAATATTAACTTCTTAACTAGAGTAATTTTGAAAAACCACAGAAAAGCCTAAAAGGAAATGGTGGACGAAAACAATGCAGACGATAAATTTTTTTTTAAAATTTTGAGAAATTCGGTTTTTTTCTTGGAAGCTCGAAACTTTTTTCTTTTCCTTATAGCATTAATTATAGCAATCGATTAGAGCACAGATTTAAACAACAGAAAAGTAATAACTAATTTAAATCGTAAACTGTATTACTGTATGTTTATTTGAATATAATTGATCCAGCAAATGGTTCTGGAAAAAAAAATTAGATTATTTATCACTTTAAATGATATAAGATTTCATAAATTCCGTGACAACCTGATAAATCGTTTAAAAAATTGAAATGTTCTATTTTTTTAATTGACGGTTGTTCATTAAAGTGAATAAAATCAAATTACGATTCAGTATCTAAAATAGAATCTGACAGAAAATATGTATTTTTATAATAAGTTTTTGCAAGGAGAAAAAAATTCGGGTGAAATTATAGTGCTCTATGGAGAAAAAAAAACATAATAAAACCAAAATATGCGGATCAATTATATTTAAACCATTTAATTGGTAATTTTTCCGTTTATCTAGTAACGGTTTACGGACATTCTGGTTTTCAAAAATTTAATTCTTAATACCTCACATTTAGTAAAAATTACAAAATTGAAAAGTAAATTTATCAGAATACATGATTTTTACGCCATGCTGTTAAGTATCATGATGAAATTAAATTTCATCACAGATTATAAAACCATATTNAAATAAGTTTCCTTAGTTTATAAATTGGTGTTTAACACTGACTGAGAAAAATGTAAATGTAGTTTTCATCATAATTTTTTTATCTTACTGCAATTTCGTTCGAGGTATATGCTTGAATATTTCCGAGAGTTTACGTGGGATAGTATTTTCCAGCATGCTTCGGTAAGTCTGTAATGCTTCATCCTACAGAAATAAAAGGGTATATAAATTAACTTCGGTTGAACTCATATAATAATAACTAAAAATAAACAGTCAACAAAATTAATTTATCTCTGAATAGAATATGCTATTAATCATTTTTAAACATTGCACAAATTAAAGTATTCAACTGGTTTAATAAGCAATTTCAACGAAAATTTCGATTTTTTTTTATTATCTATATTTAAAGTTTAATTCATTAGCTTTCCCAAACCCCTTAAAATTTTTATTTCAGAATTAAAAATTCAAATTTCCTATTTTAAAATTTTTATTTCCGATTTTCAGAAATGAAGTTACAGTTGTTTTTTTGTATGTTGACAGACGAAACAGAAACCAAAAGCAAATTCACAAAAAAAAATTAAAGTGTTCTTTGCCTTTTATTTTTATTTCTTTTTTATTTGAACCCTTATTTATTTGAATTAATTATATTTTTATGACAAATGAAATTAACTTCCAGTAATTAATTTTTGAATTATTATTTATTTGTAATCAAAATTTTCTTGCTTTTTAAACTCATTTCTAAATAACGTTTTACTTTGAGAAAATTTCTTTACACTAACACACATTACAAAACAAAAAATTTATAATAGAATTCTTTTAAATTTCTAATGTAGATTTTGTATAATGTTAACAATGTTTTGAACTAAAAGCTAAGGTCTAAGTTTGAATTTGTTATTTTTATCAAACTTTAAGTACGAATATTTAGAATTTTTAAAAAAAAATTCGATATTAAACAATATATTTAATTAATTGAATTTTTTCTGTTGAATTTTCTTAAAGATTTTAATTTAAAACACATTTATTTTGAAATTTATGCATAACATTTTGTTGTAGAGCCGTAAGCGTGCCATGAAAGATTTGTAGTTTTTAAACTCAAATTTGCCCTTATTTTAAAAAATATTTTATGAATTTTTAAACTTTACTTTAAATTTATAATTTTAGGTCCCCAGCTTATCAACCTTAAAATTAAAACTTTAATTGTGAGTGTTTTAAAAAAAATTGCATCTAAGCCAGTTGGATTATAAATCAAAATATTAAACTGAATTACTTTTTATCTAACAATTAGGTTTTGCATTGACATGCAATTTTTATAGCTCGAAAAACTTTTTTAAATAAATTAGACGATTATTTTAAGAAATGAAATCAGACACAAAAACACACTTCATCAAACAGAAATTTTTTAATGCCAGATTTGAACTTTTGATTTCTAAGATAAACCACAATCTTTAAGATATGATGTCCCAAAAGTTTAGTCCTACAAATACACGAAAGTTTAGAACCTTTAACATTATCTTAATTTCAAGTCAAATAAAAATAATTTTTAATACTTCCATGTTATTTATTTTAGTATCTATAATGATCGAAAATATCTTAAATTTTAACATTGAAAATTTTACATTTAATGAAACTATGCATTTTTAATTGATAAAATATATTTTATGAATAAAACTGATGGAATTCCTGAAAAAAAATATTCGTCAAGTTTTGTATCTCTAAAACTATTCAACGAAAATTACTCAAGTTTCATATTTGATTATAACTTAAGTTTAGGTAGTTGGAGAGCATGCAAAAAAGTTTTTTTTTTAAATAAAAAATCACCTTTCGAAATCTTATTCACTGAATCTTTCAAGGAATGGCCATATGCTATATCGTTATCATTATAACATTTTTATGTAAAAAAATCATGACACTAATTTTTCAATTTGAAGAATGCACTTATAAGTGAGAAAATTTACAAGCGTATCAAATAGTAAATTAGATACAAAACATATTTAAAAAAAGTACATGATACTAAAACATAAAAACATATTCAAAAACAGTACATAATACTAAAACATAAAAACATATTTAAAAACAGTACATGATACTAAAACATAAAAACATACTTAAAAACAGTACATAAGAAAATATTAGAAACAGTATATACTCCTGAATTAAAATGTTGCTCTTTATTGTTGCGGAGATATTCATTGAATTCCTTACGAGTGTAATTGAAACCCAGAGTTTGAATCACCTAGAATAAAAACAAAATTTATAGGCATCTTGTTGATTGCAAAACACTGATTAACTTTTTTAGGAAAAAAAAAGTTTAGTTAATAATAGCTGCAACTAAAAAGCTACTAACTCAGGAAACCTAATTTGAAAAATCTATACAACATTGAGTTTTATAAATACCAAGAAACTGAAATCTTTACATGAAACATCTATGAATAACCAATGCAAAATAATTACTTATACAGTGGCGTAGTGAGGGGTGGGCAAG